GAACAAGTCTTCTCCAACAAAGACTATAAACCGTAGGCCTAGTGTACACAATTGACTCATGTGCACTTCAAAGAACCCAGTACATATTTTGAGATGAGTAGGGGGTGCGTACTAGTAAATACAGCCACTGTTCTCTTGTGATGGGATTGCCACTTTGAAATGTTCACTGTTTGGCATATAAAGCTGAATAAAAAAAAATCCTTTTGAGGACATTAAGGTCGACTGTAGCTCCGGAGGCAAAATATTTGTTGATATGTTGTAGAACTGACTTTTCTAAGACACATATGAAAGTTGTTTGACGAAAAACTGGGGAAGGTGAATGAGATACAGAAGAGGAAAAAGGGGCATTACCACCAATTTTTACACCTTCTTTTTGAGGTAGTAGAATTTAAAAAAAAAAACCAAATTAATTAAAAACAAACTTGGTTTATATACAGTAGTTTAGGTGATTTAATGCCAGTTAAATACACTCCATGATACAGATTGATGTTACAGTGGCCTTAACTTATTTATTGTTTTAAAGTAAAAATTCAAAAAGATTTGTGTCATTCATTTTGAAAAAAAAAATTGCCCCTCCCCAAACCTTTTACTTCGCAAAAGTAGCCTCGAAAAGAAGCTCATCCAAAGTTTGCAAAAAAGAAGCCCTACTGAGTTTCAATTCGAGGTTTTATGCATTATGGTATATATAGCGGTGCACCTACAAGAATAGGCCTGGATCGATCCAACAACTTATCGACATAACGCTTGTAGTATTGAGGAGTAGGGGGTTACCCCGGTGTACTGGTTCACTCGGCCACTGTCGTGGACAGATGAAAGTGCGCATGTTTACTGGCTGCGGTGGACATGAAGTGACCCTCAGGGGAGGAGAAAGTTATTGAAAAGTGCAAAATCTAGTCCCGAGCACATAAAGACCTTGTTTACCTGCGCTATATAAATCCATCTATTATTATCATTATTATTATTACCCTGGGCCTGTCATCATGAAAATTGGTCCGGGCCAAAAATGTCCGACGGACAGAATATGGCCGCCAAAATCGGTCTGCCGGACTACTAAAATCGGTACTCCGTTGACATTAGCCACTAAAGCCAGTCCCACTTGGATAAAATTGGTCTGTGTCGGACTGGCCACTTCACTTGTATCTCGACTGCTGCTAGTAGGGTATGATTGTTTTTCCCGTGGTGGAGTGGTGGAAAGTAATTTATGCTTCTCCCACACTTGCAAAATCTTTCACAGTGACAGAATGATTCGCATTAGCTTACAAGAATAGGCCCAGATCGATCCAAAATATTGACATAACCCTTTTTACACTTGTAGTGTTACAATATTATTACCCTGAGCCTTTTTATTGGGTTTACTGTACAAGTTACTGCTATATTTTTAGGCCTACACGAGCTATCTTATGTATGATAGGGCTAGACATAGGCTAGGCCTTAGTCTCCTTTTCTAGCCTAGGCCCTAGCTGGGCGCTAGTCCTATGCCTAGTGTTAGGCAGGCTAGGCCTAGAGCGTCCTTTCGACTACCCAGGCCTAAGGTCGGCTCGGGCTAGCCTAACTGAATCTAGGCCTAGGCCTAGCCTTATATTAACCTTAGCTCAAGACTCGTCAGAGCCCTAGACTATAATCAATTTTAACATAAAATGTATGATAATAATTAAATAATGTATACTAACAATTACATTAAGCCATCACTGATAAGTACTAAAAGCTGTAGATCAATATTAAATCACATCTTTGCTTACTTAGAACTGAAGTCACGCTGAAAAACATTAGCCACCGCAGCTGTGTCTAGTACAAAACTCTTCTTGAATCTTGGTTTTTCGCCTAACACTGGAGTGCGCCCTCAGGCGTGACCGTCAAGCGCGCAACAACAAGTTAAAGCAACCGGTCGCTGTGTCATTAGACGCTGCAAAAAATCAACATCAATTCATTCATAAACCACCCAAGCATGGCTCAGAGAGTTGTGAAGATCGTTAAAACTCTGAGAAATAATTGGAAAAGACCACATTTTTTGTATTAGTGGGTTCATATGGAATTTATTATGTGAGAGACAGAATAAAGTTAGTTTTATTTTAAACTGATTGATTCATGTACAAATAATAACTCTGTATTCATTTCAGGCCTGTCCAACGTTACGAACGAATGCATTTGGCCGGGATGAATGAGTTTTTCAGGCTACTTTCTTTGCTTGAGCATGGCTAACCTCCTATCTTAGGCCTAGGCTGAGTGTATGCCTAGTGGGATTAGATCTTTTGTGTTGCAAAACTAAAATAGTTGCTATTTATATTCTTGGTAATTTAGCAGTACCTCAATCTAGGCATTAGCTTCACTTTGTATTTTGTAATTTTAAATTAATTTTATATAGATAGGCTAGCGCCTAGGCCTAGTTGAAGCCTACCTATAGAGTTTTAGACTAGACCTACTACAAGGCCTATGCTCTATTAGTATAGGAATAGTAGTACAGTACTGTACTTATTACACTTATTTTTGTATGTTTCTTTAATATGGGTGATGCGGGGAATCCAGTAGGGGGAACAGTATTCCCACTAAATTTTGAACGCAAATCAATGTTATGTGCTACTCACTTTTATTCTGAAG